TTTTGGCGCGTTTTTTGAGTCACTGAACTTATGATCCCCTTTTTTCCCTAAAAAAGTAAGAATTTGAAAAAAAGGACTCTGTACTGCACTGCATCCTGAGATGCTCTTCCAAACAAAAAAAAATTAAATATATTGAAAGAGCCTGGACAAAAAAAAATGGATTGCCAAATGAGCTATTTTTGGTCCTTGTTTGGTTCATATCTCTGTCAAACAGCAGGGTATCGAGCTGAAAATTTAATCACAGCCTCCTCACTTCAGCCCCAACGTATGCTCCAAGTTTCAGCCCATTTGAACTTTCCTGGGCTGAGATGGATTTGTGGGGGGGGGGGGGGGGGGGGGGGGGGGCTTAAATTTAAATATTTTTGTACTCGAATTCCAGATGTAAATACTGAACCATATGGATCAAGTCTTTCAACGTAACATGGACCTTGTTCTTGAAGAATCAATCCATAAACACGACGATCACGTTTAAGCTAAAATAAATATTCAAATAAGCTTTAACTAGATCTAATAACTTATTGAATAACTTCGCCAACACCATGGTGATTCTCGTCTTTCAAGTTTATCAACAGTTAGTCAATGTTCTAATACTTAGGGTTTACCAAAAGTTCGTATCTCGGCGTTTGAAGGACCTTGTCGGATGAGGTGACCTATTTAGAAATAAGAAACAAATATATCATGTTGTAGAACGTTTTGAGACGCATCGAATGGTATATAGTAAATCCTGTTTTCATAGAACATTGAACGACTTAGAGTCAATTTACTGATAGACGACTACACATTCATACCCATCCATACTCACATTCACATTCACAAGATGACCGGAGATGGTACGTATATGAAGTTGTAGCCCGTCAAAAACTCTACAAAATCATATGTGTAATGTATTGACATTAACTATTTTTTTCTTTTTCTGTTTCCTTTCGTTTCGTTTCTGTTGATTTTCCTATTTCTTTTCGTTCTATCTTGGCAATACGCCAAACGTATACATATACGTGGGTGTGGGTGGGTGTGGGTGTGGGTGTGGGTCTTCTCTCCAGTTAAACCCATACCCACACCCACACACCCACACCCACACCCACACCCACACACCCACCCACACCCACACCCTAACTTTGGGTAGCTGTTTAAATTGTAAATTTTAGTATGAAATAAACAAAATTGTAGAATGAAACATAGCATTTGTAATTCTATGAATAATTTTATCATATGATCATAGATAATCTAAGAAGTCTCGTTTTCTTTTCTTCAAAATGAGCAGAATAAGTGAACAAACTTATTTTGAGAAATATTCATTTGTCATGTGATCTTCAATCATTCAATGAATCTCGCTTTCTTCTCTTCGAAATGAGAAAAATAGGTGAATAGAACCATCGTGATAAATATCCATTTGCCATGCGATCTTCGATCATCTGATGAATCTCGCTTTGTGATCTTTGAAATAAGCAAAATAAGTGAATAGAATCATCGTGAGATGTTTTTTTTTTGTCACATGATCTTTGATTATCTAATGAATCCCACGCTCTTTTCTTTAATATGAACAGAATAGGTGAACAGAATTGTGATGAAAAATATTCATTTCTTATGTGATCTTCAGTCATCTGATGAATCTCAGTTTCTTTTCTTCGAAATAAGCAGCATAAGTGAACAAAATTATTATCAGAAAATTTCAACTCTCATAAAATCTTTGATTATCCAATGAATCGTGTTTTCTTTACATGAAAATGAGTAAAATAAGTGAACAGAACTATCGTGAGAAATGTTCGTTTGCCATGTAATCTTCGATCATCTGATGAATCTCGCTTTCTTTTCTTTGAAATGAGCAGAATAGGTGAACAGAATAATACTCATGAGAAATATTTATTCTTATGTGATCTTCGATCATCGAATTAATCTCGTTTTTGTTTCTTTGAAATGAATAGAATAGGTGAATAGAACAATGATGAGAAATATTCATTTGTCTCGTGATCTTCGATTATCTGATGAATTTCGATTTCTTTTCTTCGAAATGAGAAGAACAAATGAACAGAACTATGATGAGAAATATTTATTTATCATAGTATTCTCGATTTTCTGATGAATCTCGCTTTCTTTTCTTGAGAACGAGAAGAATAGACGAACGAAATCATTGGTGAACATTTATTTGATATTTTCATTGACTTTTAGCGATTGTCTTACATCGAACTTTGATTCGAAGTGAACAAGGTACGCGAACAGAACTATGATGAGAAACATTAATTTCTTATTTAATTTTCGATTATCTTATGAATTTCACATGATTTTCTTCAAAATGATCAGAATAGGTGAACAGAATCATTGGTGAATATTTATTCGATATTTAGATTGTCTTTTATCGACTGTTTTAGACCTAACTTTACTTTGAAATGAGCAACGTAAGCGAAGAGAACTATGATCAGAAATATTCATTGATCATGTAATGACTATTATGTTGAGAAGTCTTATTATATTTACTGAAAGGTCAGTAGAGAAGGTGAACAGGATCATCATTAGAAATGTTGATTTCTTATGAGATTTGTGACTTGCCGTAAGATTTGTTGTTAATATGTTGAACTGACTATAATGGATGAATAGATCGATATGTGCAATTGTAAAAAGGAGAGTTGAAAACAATCATAGCACAATCTTTGTTTTTACTGAACTTTGTCTTTTTTTTGGTGATTTTTAAACAAGCATAAAGAAAATAAATGAATTTTGCTGTTGAAGAACGAAAACGTTGGTTCATTTTACTCGTGCTTTTGAGAATTTGTAGCATCGAAAAACGTAAAAAGATTGTTGATATATCTATTTTTTTAAATAAATGTATGTTAAGAAAAGCGATATATGATCATGGTTTGTATCAAAATCAAGCATCATTGATATGTTTTAATATTAATTCAAAAAATAAGTTGAATTAACAATTAGAGAATTATTCATGAAAATTAATATAAGTTTGATGAGCAATTACAGTTTCCTTGAAAATACAAATTCTAACAAATTGAAAATGCCAATATTTTTATCACATCTATGCTGATAAATGAGCTGTTGCTGAAAATAGAAAATCTATGGTGAAGTTTCGTTTTCTGAAGAAAAACTTGTCAAACGCAGTTCTATTTGGAGCCAAAATGTGGAAGTGACATATCATGTTTCAATCCATTTTAATAATATGTAAAATAAAGAATTTCTAAAAATCGGAACTACCCTCCAATGTGTCTTATCCGATTTGGTTATGAACAACAAAAACAATATATTCATGAACAAATTAAAAGTAAAGAAAAAAAGGGTAAGGGTGAATGGAGCAACCATAATGTTAACTAGAATCATCAGATGGCCTCGTTTCAATTTTGAGGATGAGCAATAGCTACGATATTAGTAGATTATTCGATGTTACTTGTATTTTATCAAATAGTGTTAGTCGATAGATCTGATGAAGATGGATGTTTTCCGAAGGATAGATGTGATTTTGGACTGAAATAAGAAAAACGTTTGATATTTTTCGGTTTTTTTTCTAAATCTATGATTTTGTTTTCGCGATTAGCAATTGTTGTAATAATTTTGTTGAAGAATGAATAATTTTTATGATTAAATTTTTTATGTAGCAGTTTATTTTTCTCTTCGATAAGTTTTTGTGCATAGCCTTGTTCCATATCTTCGGCTTTAGACAATGTTTGAAGGACTAAATCTTATGTAAATTTTTCTATCGAATTATTTTCATTGACCCAAAAAGTACATGAATTTGTCTTGGTTTTAATTGATACTCTTTGGCATCGAATTGGAACATATTTCTTCGTCTTTGAAGTTCAATACGTAATTGATAGTGGGGTAGTTCCACCTGAAATCTCCCACGTTTACAGTGATCTTCATTCGGTAAGCTGAAACTTTCAGCAATTAAACATATAAATTCATATCGTGAACATGTTTGATTGATTCATGAATGTTTATTGTTTCAATTTGTTCAATTCATACAACAAGAATTCATAAATAAACCGAGAAATAAATAGTTTTAGTTTAATTATCTCTGAGAAAAATAAAAGAGAAACGAAAACATTAAAATTTGAGCTTTGTTTTTATTTTCGAGACCGATAAGATTGTGTAACTAATAGTTACTATATATGATAAACTATAAGAAAACAACGCAAAATAAGTTTCAGATCGTGACTTAACAGTTATACAACATGGTCTTCATTAATTGAAAGCATATCAGTTTTTATAGGTAGATGAAAAGAAAATATTGCAATATTTAAATATTTTGTAATAACCTTTCAAACAGTAATCATATCAAATACATATAAATGACAAAGAGATCTGTCATAATCCAGCTATAACTTATACATTGGGTAATACATGTCAAACAATAGGTATGGGTAAGCCGTGCGCTATTACTAGATATTTTAAGCTCGACTAGAATTTCGTTTCGATAATGTTGCGAGTACTACAGACGTTTGTGAATTCTCTTGAAAATATATCATCGATTTTCATAAAACTTTAAATCAAGACTGATCTATTCTAAGTTAAGAAGAGTCTTATTATGGAGTTGACTTATTTTGGCTAGTTTACATCATTAAACTCAAGCAAATCTGTTTAGTCATATCTAGTTATAAAAACATTTTGAAATTTTTACGAAATCTTGTATGATATGTAATCCATCATGCTGATGATGCACTTTACGTTGGATTAACATCAAGTTACCTTTACTTTGTATTTGCAATCAGTAAGAATGATAAAGGACAAAAATAAATTATCTTTTGTCGTCATTATCATTCCTTAGAGGTCTTCGTACCTATAAATGCAATAAGAACAATGATTTTACATAAGTTTTCTCTATTTGTAAGGATGACACTTCAATTATGAAAATAAGAGTGTTGTCAGCTACTCTTTTTGTCCTTTTTCTATTCCTGGCAATTGGTACGAATGCAAACTATACTAATCATCAACTGTGGCGTTTGTATGTCACTAACAACGAACAAATTGACAAAATACGCACTTTCAGTCGTATAGCTCACATGTACGATATTAATTTTTGGTCAGAACACTTTAGTATTCATGAACCGGTAACTTCTTATTCGAACATGTTTTCATTCTTTAATATTTATAATATTTTTGCTCAAACAGATTGATGTTCGCGTGCCACCTCAAGCAATCGATAGTTTCGCTGATTTTTTGACATTGGACAGTGCAAAAATCGAATATGTCGTTCATATGGCTGATATTGGTGCAATAATTGAAAGACAAAGAGTTCTCCATAATTTACATCGATCATTATCGAATACAAATGATTTTGCTTATAATAAGTATCACACCATTGAAGAAATTCATGCGTGGATTGATCAAATGGTTGCAACCTATCCAGAACTGGTAACACCATTAACCATCGGAAAATCATACGAAAATAGAAATATCAAAGGCTTCAAAATCTCATCAAAGAAAATGGCAACCAAGATTGATGGTACTAAAGCTACTACGAAAAAAGCAGTATGGTGGGATGGAGGTTTGGTTTTTTTTTTATAAATTATGCTTACTTTTAACTATATCCACCTACAGGAATTCATGCTCGAGAATGGATTAGTCCGGCAACAATCATTTATATTGGATATGCTCTTCTGTCAAAGTATGGCCAGAATCCTACCATCACGCATCTAGTGGACCAATTTGATTATTATATTTTGCCTGTATTTAATGTTGATGGGTATGTATATACATGGACAGAAGGTAATAGTTCGCATTAAAGAAGAACATCCCTTTTAAAACTTTGTTCTTTTCAAGATCGATTATGGCGCAAGACCCGTAGTAAAACATCAGTTCCATTCTGTTATGGTGCTGATCCGAACCGCAATTGGGATTACCATTGGTGCGAAAGTAAGTTTGTTGTTTGTTCATTGTGATGTTTTGGTTTTTGCATAATCAATTTTAGGAGGTGCTTCATCTGATCCTTGTTCGGACCTTTTCTGTGGTGAAAAAGCATTTTCAGAAATCGAAATAGCTCAAGTAGCAAAATTCATTGCTAGCCAACGGGATACTATTGTGAACTATATCAATTTTCATGCATACTCACAAATGTGGATGTCACCATGGGGTATGCTTAGAAATTTATATTTGATATCATTGTTTAATACTTCCTACTAGGTTATACAACTATGAGACCAGCACAATTCAAACTACAAGATGATGGATCTATTCAAGCCATTAACGCACTCACTGCTGTGCATAGTTTGTCTATTGTGAAATACTGATTGTTTTAGAATTATTTCTGTTTTATATTAAAGGTACCAAGTATTTACATGGTACTATTGCTCAAACTATCTATCTTTCATCAGGCAGTACAGCCGATTGGGCTTATGGAATAGCCAATATAACATTTAGCTATGGTGTCGAACTTCGTGATACTGGTATGTGCATATAATTATTCAAGTTTGATGAAATGTTGTCGAATATTCGTTCATTAGGTGAATATGGCTTTTTGCTTCCCGAAGACCAAATCATTCCAACTGGTGAAGAAACTTTTGCTGGCCTTCTAGCCTTACTTCAGTACATTGAAAAATATGTATATGCTTGAAATGATGGACTCTTAGGAATCAATTTATGTTGCACATCGTCTTTTTTCTGAATGAAATATTTTCATGAATTTGTCAAAGTTTTTCTTTGACCAATATCCAAGTTGAAAATAATACATGTTCTTAAGTGTTCTCTCAGAAGATGTAGTATGTAATTCCCTAACAATATCAATTTACCTTAATTAATAAAATTGAAAACGTTTTTAAATAAAATTTTTCCGCTCCATGAAGAGAACCTATTTTGAATGCATCTATTCGTTTAGTGATTGTGATACTATTGATTTTTTTTTAGCAGAAGATTTTTCTAAGGGAACATTTGGAGTTATGAGATTTTTGTGCTGAATATCAAAGTTAATATTGATAGTCAACTACAGAATAACTTGAAATATGATTTAATATCAATTTTCATATGGAATAAATCAGAACACTTTTTTAATTATTTTCAGACTTTTGAAATTCGAGAAATTCGAATCATAGAAGGGTGTGGGTGTGGGTGTGGGTGTGGGTGTGGATGTGTGTGTGGGTACACTGCGTGTGAACACAATACACACACCCACACCCACCCACACCCACCCACACCCACCCACACCCACACCCAAAATGATTAGTCTACCATAAATATTTCTTGATGGAATTGTTGTAATTATTTGAATAAATTTATCATCATAGACAAAACCATTGGCAAAGAATGATGTATCAAAAAGAATGGATTGTGTATCGGTACGTTTTACTCGAAAGCCATTTTGTCCATATTCATTTTGAGTCATTTCAAATTTAATTCTTGCTGGAAATGCAGTTGAAACTAATGGATCCCAATGAATAAGAACAGGTACTTCATATCGTGTTGCACTTGCATCGCGTATAGTCATACGGATCATTTCAGGTCCTGAAACACTTACTTGAATATCTAATTTATTTATATCATGATTGAATATAGAAAATCCATTGTTCAATCGATTGAGTGTATAATGAATAGTAGCATTCGAATTGGGATTTAATTGTTCTGTTACATTGTAACCATCCTTTTCTATTGGAATATAACAAGTAGCAATGCCTGAACTCGCATTTGGATCCCAGGTACATCCACGATTCGTACATGTTTGATTAGTCATATTTAAAGTTCGATTTTGTGTAACATCAAATACACAGAAAGATCGATATTCATCAATATCCGATGCACAATCAATTCGATATTTGGAATCATTCTGCTCTTTCAATACTATCTTCTTATTTTGAAAACTAATTTTCACTCTATAACATTGAAGTTTATTTGGAAGTGCTTTATCATCAAATAGACATTTATGTGCTAGACATTCTTCTTTTGAAAACGGCAATTTTCGATCTGGATAGCAATGGATTCGTTCTCTATCTTGATATGGCAGATCACCAGCGTAGACAATAACTACTATTACAACAAGAGTAAAACCCCTAAATAAGTAGTCCATCTTGTTGATTACACTGCAGAAAACACAGTAGCTAGAATAACAAATTTACATGCATTGATTCTTTGGATTGTTCATGAGAATGAAGCATTAAATTCACTTAATACAAACCTGTTTTTATTTCGGAGCGAAGTAGAGACGTCGCGACAATCGTGTCACTGATCGAATGAGGAACACTACTTTATCATTACCCATGGCGTAAATTTTTGCGAAAAAAACGCGTTCTGAAAACGCGTTTTTTCATAGCTGCGAAACGCGTTAATGCTGGCCGGTTTAACGCGTTTCACATTTGCTAAAATAAACGTTGTGAAATGATTTTTTCTTAAAATCATTTCGCAGTGTTTCTGAATCTGTGGTATTGCATACTTTGAAGGATAGAAAAAAACAAAACCCGTCAAGTACTTCGTAGAACTCAACTTGCAGGTGCGATCTATATACTGGTTTACATTAATTCATAGAATTATAGAGTTAACTTACATTAGTTTCGATAAAGTTAAGAGGTGGATTCGAACAGGAGAACATAAGAATAGAAGATATGTATACAAACCGTTCAACTAAAATAGTCAAATGATATAAGTGTTTGCTCTATTCTTATTTAGATGTCTTGTACAAATTTATGATTCGAATAAATTTTGTTTCACGTCTGAATGAATCGATGAAAAATGATATTCTCTTTGCTGCTGTTATCCGAGGAAGAGTGTCATTTTCCGTCAATTTATTTTAAGTTTAACTTTTAGAAATTTAAATTTGTAAAACTTTATTTTTTTAAAGTTTAAATACCCAATTAAAATGAATTTAATTCCATATAAATTGAATTAAAAATTTTAAAAAGATTAAACTTCGTAAATTTAAATTCAAAAGAACTGTAATCGTAATTTTGCAAAATTTGCAAAGTTTTTGTTGAATTGAATGTTTTTTTGTAAATGTAAATCCATGATCAGTAAATCCAAGTGCAATCACAACTACAAAAATATTTTTTCTGCAATTCGAACCTCTTTTATCAAAAAGCCGCACTTACATACATCGATAGTGTACGAACGAAAGTGATATTCTAGTCATGTTTCGGAGAGTATATAATCAGTTACTATAACGCAGTCCATACATAAATTATCAATAATTATTATTATAAATCGTAAATTATCCGAAAATACTTTTTTCACACAACAACATTGAGCTGTCCTACGGATTATTTTTGCATCAGTCTTTACTGAATTGCTTCAAATTCTTCAACATTTTACAGAATTCTAGATTCAATGCTACGAAACGCGTTTTCTTTGAATGAAAACGTAGTGAAATGAGTTTTCTAACAGAAGATAACTGTAGAATACACTCTGATGTTCAATACTAGCGTAACTTCGAAACAGCCTTAGAAAACGACGTAATTCGTTGAAGTCTTAGAAGAACTTAATTCTGACCTTGGCTAAGGAAGACCTGCGCCGCCATCTTGAGGATCAAAAACAATGCAATCAGCAAATTTTTTGTAAAACCATTTCGCATAATTTTCAAAATCATATCAGAGTTGACTTTTCTTAACTCACATGCTTTTTGAAGATGAATTGGTACGAGATGCTCTAACAAAAGAGATCAGTTTTGCATCATTCGAAGCGTAACCGATGCAAATGCATTTTAAAAGAACCTGTTTCGCATTTTCTCCGAGTTGTGACTCTGTACGATGCTTTTCTTGTCGACTTAATGAGTTTAACAGCGTTTCATTTGGGAAACGCTTCGAAACGTAATCGCAAAAAGAAGCGTTTCGTATCGTTTCAAAAACTCAAGGCAGCAAAACGCGTTCTATATAAGTAAAAATACTGTAAAACGCATTCCGTCTCGAAGAAACGCTGCGAAACGCATGCCCCAATCTTGGAAACGCGTTACACAGTGCGTTTCCTTAGATATTTTACGCCATGGGTAATCATGATTGATATTGTCTACTTGAGAATTATGTCAAGAAAGAATAATCGTAAATCTTTTTTGACAATGAAGGTGAAAACGCAAAATAATAAAAATTATTGTTCGTTCGTTCGTTTTATTCAAAATCCAGACAGTAATGATAACAATAAATCAACTGAAAATTAGACTAATCTTTTCTTTTGAAGAAAGCAAGAATGACTTGTTTACTACACATAACGATGCGTACAAGATTATTGTTTTTATGATCACATTTAATTGTTAACGACAGATTATTTTATTAGAAGATGAGAGAACCCCTTTATATTTGTGCTAAACCACCATCAACAAAAAGTTCAATACCGGTGACATATGAACTATCATCAGAAGCAAGAAATACAGCTGCTTTGCCAATTTCAGATGGATGACCAATTCGACCCATAATTGAACCAGCTATAATTGAATTAATAATCGTCTCTGAAGCTTCTGGAGTAGGACCTATTCTTCTGAGCATAGGAGTTTTAGTGGCTCCTGGACTAAGAGTATTTACACGAATTTTTCGTTCTTTTAAATCCACACTCCAACAACGTGCGAATGATCGAATAGCAGCTTTTGTTGCATTGTAAATACTAGCTCCTCCAATTCCTTTAATTGACCAATTAGATCCATTAAGAATAATTGAACCACCATCAACAAAGATTGGTAATGCTTTTTGAACAGTAAAAAGTACACTTTTGACATTAAGATTAAATTGACGATCAAAAGATTCTTCTGTAATTGATTCGATGGATTCTAAAGTACCTGTAGCAGCATTTACGAATAAAATATCTAATTTTCCTTTTTTTTCTTTTATTATTTTGATGACATTATCAATATCATCTAATTTAGCTGAATCAGCTTGAATTCCAGTAACATGTTTATCATCGATTTGTTTGACTGCTGCATCAAGAAGTTCTTGACGTCGTCCAGTAATGAAAACATAAGCACCTTCAATCACAAATTGTTGAGCAGTAGCAAAACCAATACCTTCTGATCCGCCAGTAATAAGAGCAATTTTTCCATCGAGTTTCCTCATACTTATTTCGAATTGTGTGCAGAAAAAATAACGCACCTTTTCGATTGTTTATATTACTGTATGCAGTGTTGTCTCGTTTTAATCATTCTGTTGTTTTTGCTATTCTGTATGATAAGATAAGGAAAATGCGTTGTATACCTTTTTCTTATCAGTTCTGTTTTGCTTTTTTCGCAACGATCAAACGTATAGTCTACGATTCTCATTGACTAATGTATTACAAAACACATTTTTATTTTCCTAATCAAAAAAAGATGACAATCTATTCTGTTAAAAACCAAGTTTGTTCATTTGTTTGATTTATCCCGTTCCAAATAGGAGGGAAGCAATGTTGTTGTTAGATGAACTACGTTATTGTGTTAGATGCTAAATGAAAAAGAAAACATATAAGACAGATGAAGAGTAAATGAATATTACCATTAAATCTCGTAAATTATCATTAAAACGAAGCTTCTCTTCATATATAACATTCGTAATGCCATTGGACCCTATGTGTAATTCAGTAAGTGTCTTTATGCAAAGAATATATATCGAATATATATGAATTCTAAGATAAAATAAAATTACGGTATTTTTCTGTAATAATACTCTCAAATGTTCTACACCATCATTTCCAATTCGATTAAAAGAAAGATACATTTGCTCAAGTGTCTAAAGATGATCAGAGTATATGTGTTAATTGAAGAGGAATAAAAATAACCTTATTAATTTCCAATGCATTTGCAAAATATTGTGCTCCTTCTGTTAAGATTTTATTTCTACTCAGATTCAATAGAGTTAATGTCTAATTATAGAACAGAAAATTGATAAGAATGAACGATGAGAACAGAATAATACTCACTGTGTTGCTCTGTAATGCGTTGGCAATAGACTCTGCTCCACGAACTCCAATTTCATTCATGCTAAGATTTAGTTTCAAAAGTGTCTGCGTATGAAATAGTACATCAGCCATCAGTTGTGCTCCATCGTTGCCAATCTGATTATTTATCAGATCGATTTCTACTAGTGTCTATAAACCAAAAAACAAAACAAATACGTGATAGTTAAATGGATAATGAGAATTACTTTGTTGATTTTCAACATATTCGCAAGATATTCAGTTCCTTCAACTCCAATTCGATTATTTTTTAATATGAATGTCGTTCATGTCTATTGAAAGAAAGTCAGATGAAAATGCAGAAAGAAAATAGAGAAATCATGAGAAGTACAGTATTATCTTGTATGGCGTCAGCAAGACTCTTGGCACCAGGTGCTCCGATTCGAGCAGAGGAAAGAATCAATGTCTTTAGTGTCTTTAAATGTTATATATAGTAGAGGATGTGGGTGTGGGTGTGGGTGTGGGTGTAGGCGTGGGTATGGGTTTAACTGGAGAGAAGACCCACCCCACACCCACACCCACACCCACACCCACACCCACACCCACACCCACACCCACACCCACACCCACACCCACACCCACACCCCACACCCACACCCACACCCACACCCACACCCACACCCACACCCATACCCACACCCACACCCACACCCTATTGGTGCTATACTCTGATGTCTTTGCCGTCGTCGCTGAAGAGTCCTCAATCTCATTTTCTGCTTCAGGGAATGTATGAAGAGGCATACTTTTGCGAGCAGTCATGTTCGAAGACAGGTTTTTTCGTTTCTTTGGTTGCTCGAAGAAATTAAAATGAAACGCAGCGTCCTTTCACTTTCGATCAAGTTGGGCAAAACGTGCTGCATACGTATTAGCGCCACCGCTCGTTTACTGTTTATTTTCTTTTGCATGTTACTGTTACAAATCTTGCGCTCGCTTCTTTTTCACAAACTGATTATTGTCGTTTGTCCGTTGCAGAAATGCTTGTTTTGTTTTTCTTAGGAATTTATTTTTATTTCTCTCGCTCAACACACAGTAAAGGACAAACATCGTCAAGTCTCCTTGAAAATTATTCATCAACTTCAATCTGCTGTCGGTACGGTGAGCACCAATTTTGATCAATTTTCACCTGCTGTTGTTGCTCCATAGAATGATTTCATAGTTTATGAAATGCTAACATTTTTTGAAGAACACTCTTTCCTACTCGAAATAGTATCTTTATTCGTCCACATGTTCTTGTGGAACAGATTATTATTAGCCAAGTCCAATACGACACATTCAGGCCCCTAGTCAAACAAGATTAACAAAAAACGCGTTTAAACCAGATGAACTAATCCTACCACTTTAAAACATTTCTAATTTTTCTAGACTTACACGATTTCATCCCTTTGCACGATCATTCTTAGCATTTTTACTGAGCTCAAAAACAGAAGTGTGTATCTACGGGTGGCATTCATGGAACTGGAATGTCTCTGTAACAAAACCCACATCCATACCGACACCCACACACCCACACCCACACCCAGCCACACCCACACCCACATCCCAGCCACACCCATACCCACATCCCAGCCACACCCACACCCACCCTCAAGCTGGCGGGCATGCAGTTTTTTTCCTCAGAAATGGCTTTCATTTGACTCGAAATGATAATATACCACTCCGAAAATCATTTTCAGGAATATAAAAGCGTTTTTTGAAAATATATGGCTCGTGGAGTCCAGCCGTTTTCTTCCAAAAAACCTTTTTTGAAAAAATATGTTGACCTACACGTCATTTGATGTAGTTTAATGGGCTGATTCCTAATATTACCTTCGTTTTTCTTCAAGGTGTAATATAAATCCTTAAAATCGAATTTTCGGTCAAAAACCTGTGATTTCGGGGAACTCTCTAAAATAGCTTAGGGAAGATTTCGCTACACTGTGGTTCGATGCAGATTGACGAGCTAATTCCGAATATCACCTTAGTTGTTCTTGAAAGTGTAGCACTGGTGCCCAAAACGGAATTTCCGACCAGAAACCTTGGGTTTTTTAACATCCTGTAAAACAGCCTAGGAAAGGTTTCATGAATTTTTGCATCTACGATAAGTAGGATATATTCATGGGAGCATCTGGTAAAAACTTGAGCTCGAGCGGACGTTATTTCTTTATAGCTTTTAGAACATACGGAGCGGTAGATTTTCAGATAGACTATGAAGCTCGAGATCCTTTGTTTTCAATTTAATTTTCAATTGAATTGCGATATTTTTTTTTCTAATAAAGTCCAAAGGTGAGTAAGTTTTTTGCGATATTGTTAGCTTGTGATATATTGCTGACGGGCTTGACATTCGTTATTCCTATCAATTTCTGGGCCAAAGCATTATCAGGCTCTTTTTTACAGCTCTATAATACTTTAAAAACTGCTCTTTTAGAAAATGATAGATCGCATATGCATGCATCTACGCAAGCAGTCACATTTTGGTTAAGAGTATTTTTGTATATGTCCGCCTGGCTTCCTACTGTGCTGTGGTGTCGAGTTAAGAGAACATATAAAATTAAGCGGTGTGAGTGTGGATGTGCTTTTCAAACCGACAGCGACATTGGTGCTCGTATCCCACCTATATCCACACCTACACTCATACCCATGCCCACATCCACACCCATACCGATACCCACACCCACACGCGCATCCATATCTCACTCTCACCCACGCCCACATCCATACCCACAGCATCTTTCGTCCTCGTGCATAACTGGACTGTAACTATGAGTGAATGGCAAATCAACTTCTTGACTCTTCGAACCCTCAGAGTTTCACCTTGCCTTCAATGGAAGAGAATGAAAGTTCAGAAAAAATGCAAATATTTTCAATTTTATGATATGAGCAACTTGAAAGAAAAGCTCAAGGGTATAGATGTGGATGTAGAAAAGAAGTCTGATAGCCACAGCTGAAGCCGCACCTCCTCCCCCCCCCCCACACACCCTCCAATTTTTGGCAAAAATATGAAAGAACACATGAATTGTTTCTTTTCGCTAACGGTGCATAACTATGTTTCTTAACTAGCTTTCTTCTTCACGACTGACGGTAGTCAATACAAAAACTTATAGCATGACCTTTTTGCAAACTTGGAAAATTCTATATAGATAGTTTTCATGCTTTAGCACTAGAGCAAGTTGCATATATATTAAATGATAGTTTATCTAGATAAACAACTACTTGTAGAAAAACCAATGTTCGCACAGTGAAATCATGGATAGAGTCAATCGGCAATTTTAAAAATAGACTTGTCTAGATCAATTTTTAATGCTGAGTCAGAATCGTAAGTGAAAATTATATCTTAAGAAAACAAATAACGCATTATCCTATGAAAAATAAATAAAATTACGTACATCAATATTGTGTCAAAAATGTGATGTTTTGAGAAAGTAAGCGCAAAAAGTTGTCTTGGGAGAGATTTAAAACGGCCCAAATCTAGCACATTTTGTAGAGCGAAAAATCAGAACATTTTTCACGAAGTTTTAGTTTGCGCTAATTTTCTTTGGATATTGATCATAGATTACGACTAAATTGAAAAAAATTGAAATTTTAAGAAAAGCAAATTTTTTTAAATTGAGTAAGATCTGTTTTAATCCAGAAAGAAGCAATAAACAGAACATGTTTAGTATCGATTTGTAGTGTTAGAGTAACTATGTATAACTAATAGGAGATATACAATGAAAGGCAAACAATATGAAAATAGTTTGATACCACAATCAGATGATCCCTACCCCTACAAGTGGATACTATAGTGGTCAAATTCATCCTGCAATTTATATACGTGGTGCCAATAAAAACTTAAACCAAATACACGAGCCTATGTAGAAAACTATGCTCTTTCAGACTAGCTATGTGAAAAAAAGGTTCAATGAAAAAAATTTTCTAAGCTTATCCGGCGGTGTCCTTTATCAGCAGAAGATTCGCCGTTAAATTCTAGATCGATTGATATATATCTTTTGAAAATCTAAAGATGGGCCGATATGCGTGCTTATACGCCTCCGTCCGTCGGTGACATCTTTAATGATAACGACTCACGGGCGAGTAGATTTCTTTCTCAATTCTCTAGTGGATTTTTTCCCAGTTGTTATTCTTCTTTCGGTATAAAGAGAGCTACGAA